GGTTGAGATGTTGGAACACTGCACATAGTGTATTATGTGTATGTGGGCTCCACCCTGTGAAACACTAGAGTGCACATAAAACCTGAACACAATAAACAACCATTTTGGATCTGACCTTTATATACAGTACAACCAGAAAAATCACAAGGACATTTGTTTTGTTTTTTTTTAATTACAAATTAAAAGATATTGGACAAAAACTTAAACAAATAAACAGTAAAGATCAAAAGTACAAGTTGTATGGGTGCATGTCTGCTTATTGTATGTTTGTTGATTATGCTGTTTTATAATCACGTTCCTTTAAATGTTAAAAAACCCCACAAATAACTGCTACAGCAGCAAAAATTAAACACAACTCCTTAATGTTAATGTCAAATAACAACTTAAAAACACAAAATACATATAAGATATACACTGTCTTTTGAATGGGTTTTTCCTGTGCAGCCAGTTGTATTTAGTTTCAGGCAGTAACACGTTAGTGCTCCAGTTCTGCCCTCGTGCAGATTGTAACACGACTACTGTTGGAAATGTTTCAACAACCTGACTTACAGTGAGCTCAAACTGCACCCGTCTCACAGTCAGCGAGTTGAAGTAAAACATGGTTGCACACAATTTCTGTGCCTTTAGGAAATTCTGCAGAAGTAAATCAACTGTGCTTAAAATAGATTATTATGAAGGTGTAATTTTACATTACATATTTTGAAATATTAGGTAATTGTTATTTTGTTTCATGACGCATTTGTTTTAATTAAAACTTACCCTCCAAAAATAAAGATATAATTTTTTTAGAGAATTTATTGCTGACGTACAAAGCTCCAAAATATTGCATCTACATAGTTTTTAGTGCAAACCACTTTTGCTTAAAAACAAAAAACACAACAACATCAACAACAACAAAATAAAGCAACAAAGAATAGCAGATACAAACCTGCACCACTTGATTGTTCTGTTTTTACATTGTTACCCCAGTAACAAGCCAAGCGTTCAGACCGTGACCTCTGAGTCAGCTACAGAGCCACGTCCCCTGAATGCTGCCCATCCTCTTCTGTTCCCATTTGGAAGACACAGGTAGTTTGTCATTATTACCTGTTATTACTCCCAAGCCTGGATAATAGGAGGAAGCATACAACACTTTCAAAGCTGCTGAGGACATGACTGAAGGTCACATATATATTAGGGATGCAACGATACACAAAATTCACGGTTCGGTTCGGTTGATACTTTGGTGTCACGGTTCGATATTTTTTTGATACAAAAAAAAAATATTCATGCCTTTTTAATTTGTCATTTATTAAAATTATAAATATATATTTTAAATCAAAAGTACAGTTTTTAAATTTAATGTTGCTTAAACAACAAAGTAATAAAAATAAATAAATCTATCTCATCGAGAAAACATTCATCTTTGGAAAAGAGAGTTTATTACAGAGAAATGGCTCTTTCCAAACTAAAAGCTATACTATACGCTTCTTCTGGGCTATAGTCTCAGCAGCATATTAAACATAGTTGCTGTTATGAACAAACAAACAGATTATTTCAGGGTCTCTTTCCAAGAGACGAAAAGCAATATAAGTGATAAATATTACCATTCTGTAGAATATTCTTATATTTCACTTTTACTTGTTCCCATGTTCTAGTGGGTCCTGTTGTGGCTCTAATGTGAAAGGGGATATAATATAACAATATAATATAATGTAATATAATATTGGATAATATAGTGTAATATAATAAATCTATGAATAAATAATAAAGTGACTGAATAGTGGTATTGTCATGCGCTTTGGGTGCCTTGAAAAGCGCTATATAAATCCACTCCATTATTATTGTTATAATTAAATTACTTACGAGTTTAATTTGTCAGTAACTTTCTGCCAGCCCTCTCTCCTTGCTTTTGCAGCCTTTGCAGTGTTCCCTTGCGTTTTAATTAAACTCTGAAACTCCTGAAATCCCTCAATCAAGAGTTCTTGCTCTGCTGCCGGAAAATACCGAGCGCGCCCCTTCGACATTTTCGCCGACCAATCAGCGGGTTGCCGATCAATGTTTCTACTATCGATGCGTAGCCCCTTTTACGACACCCAGTGATGTCACATTACTTCATCCAGCTGTACTAATCGTCAACAGCAGGTGTGTTCGGGGAACCGGATTAGCTCGCTCACGGTTAGCGCGATGGTTTGGTCTTGGATGTTTCATTTGATCTTGCATGTAGTAAGCGACGTACGAAGCACAGGGCCCAGATCTGAATGAGGGTGGGGGAGGTCCATGTTGTAAGGTGTGACGGAGTGACCCGTCTCAAGGCAGAGTCCGCTGAGTATGGCACCGCCACCATTAGACCGCCACCATTAGTTCGACTTGGCACCAGGGCGGCGTATCTTGCGGTCGACCGAGTAGAGGAATAAAAGGGGTGAGGAGCAAGTTGTCCTGTTTGTATCTGTCTTGTGTGAAACTTGTATGAAAAGCATACAAGAGTGAAAACAGATATAAGATCCCTTGAAAAATTATATAAATGAAATGTAACTAAACGTAACTACTCCTGAAATTTTGGAGATAATTTGTAATACTTTTGGAGATATAATAAGCCACATGGAAAAGATATATAATGACATATATAATAGATATACATATATAATGCCATAATTTGTTCCCCCTGTCTAAATCATGAACAAACACTATCCCATAGTTGTTTATGTTTTTAAACCCATTTTTCAAGAAGATTTTTCTTGTAAAACAAAGGGGGCAAAACAAAGTAAATGTGTATGTGTGTTTTTTTAGAAGACCTGGAAACGGAGACATTGGTTACACATTACTATCCTTACCATGCTGTCCTCTGGTGCCTCCGTGTTAGATTTGAGTGGGATTCCTCCAGTGTCTCCAGAGTCATAAAGCTGCAATTTCTCTCTCTTTTTTAGACAGAAAAATACAAGGACCAGGACTGCAACAAAAAGCAGGCATATTCAAAATCAGAGCTCACAGAGTGCTTTTATGTGTGGTATACCTACACTATTGTATGCAGCATTGTTCGCTTCCTAATATGCAATGAGCAAACTACAAGAGAACCCCCAACTAACCCTTACAACTTAATCACAGTGGGAGACTCACAAAGCAGTAGGAGGAGGACCACAGGACACAGTACAGTCATAATTCCCAGTAGTCCGAAGGACACAGACCTGCAGGAAAAGGTGAATCAGTCATTTTTCCAAGTGTCCAGAAAGCAACCACACCCCATCTTACCCTGAATCCATATGTAACAAGTGTCACCTGGCAGTTTGTTGCTCTCTGCCAGGTGATTGGCTGAAGAGCTGTGAAAAGGTAGTGGGTGTGTGCGGTGAAGTCAGCGCTCTTCTGTGGAAAAAAACCAGAGGGGATTAATTCACTTGGGTGTGAGTGGGTATACTGTCGGTAAGAGACTTTTGCCATTTCGTTTGGATCATTTGTTATTGTAGGTGCCCATTTTTAATGTGTGTCGTTGGACTTTTTTAGTGTTTTAATAGAAGAATTGATCAAGCCCTAGATCGACTGCGTGCAGGGTAACTGATCAATATTGTAGGCATATTGAGTGTTTTTTTAGCTTTGTGATTTTGAATGGTTTCATAAAATTGATATTTTATTGGGTAATATTTTAATCGATAATGTTGTGTTTTTTAGCTGTGCTGTCTCTGCTGTCCTTTTTTTTCCTTCTTTTGATGGATTTGTAATTTTGTTTTGGTTAGTCCGTCCAGCCATAAAGACGGTTATTGATTGGGAGTGAGTTGCGTAAGGGCGGAATAACCTCCTTTTTTGTTTTTTCTTTATTTGTTTGTGCCACTTCCCCTTATGTCCCAGATTACAGGTCATGCATAGTGCTGCTTCTGTCATGAAACGCTATGTGGCAGGCAGGAGATGAGGACTCACAGACTCAGGGGATGAACTGAAAATCACAGCTTTATTTGCTGGTCACAGAAAAACAAACATACAAAGTAAACTAAGCTAAACTGGGAAACAATGAACTAAAACTCACAGGGAGATCCACACAGCAAGAGGGACGACGCAACACTGACTCAGAGAAACACAGGGTTTAAATACACTGGGAAGTAACGAGGGGAATGAGACACAGAAGGAGGGCAC